ATTGATGATATATATACGAATAACAATATTTATTCGACATCATACAACTAATTTACCATTACCGATTAAACAAAGACACGATCGAGATTTTCTTGTTGTCCAACGTATATTAATTATAGTTAGTCTATTACTTATTCTTGGTATTCCATCAATATTCTTTATAATAAGATTCATTATAACAGGTGATGATCATCCTTTGACTAATCGTATTGCATGGTTTCCAGTTGGAATATCAATGTCAGGATTGAGTGTAACATTAGTTTTTACTATTCCTCAACTGAAAAGTATTGTTGTAAAATTATTTCAACAAAATCGAATAAAACCTGCTACTCTTGCCACTGTACCAACAAGAAATCAGATGAAATCTGTTTGTGGTACTGATTAATTTATCATGAACTTTTTTTGGGTTAATTATTGCTGTCCATGGTGTGAAATATTCGTTGTAGTGTTTGTTTCTATATTTTCAAATAAAGCATTTATACTCACTATGATCTACAGAAATTTCTCCCACAAGTAGGGGATACATAGACTAGAAAAAGATTAAAAGGATATGTGTTCAAACTGGTGTTTGTCTGAGATATCGACTACTTATTGTTTTTGTCTCATAAGGCCTTATCTATGCGGTAAAATCAAAGTTTTGAATTTAGACCTGAAACTTTGTCCACACTAAGACCTCAATCAGACAAGCTTTCTCATAACGTTTCAGAAGTTTCCTAAAGACTGTCTCCAAGATACAAGTATGTTAGCATAAAGACGCTTTCTTATGAATATTAGGTTTCACATGAATATTTTCACGGATTTATATTTCGGAGATAATCGATCAAAAATTTCTGAAACTTTATGGGCAAGCTTGTTTGATTGAGGTCTTAGTGTGGATAAAGTTTCAGGTCTAAATTCAAAACTTTGATTTTACCGCATAGATAAGGCCCTATGAGACAAAAACAATAAGTAGTCGATATCTCAGGTAAACACCAACTTGGGTACATATCCTTTTAGGCTTTTTCTAGTCTATATGTTTGGAAACTTTATAAACAAGTCGAATGTCTGTTCTTATATTTAATATTATTTTCTTCAAACTTCAGCTATTGTTCTTCAAGTTTTGTTGAGTTTTATTTGATATGTTACTATAATTATACCTTATCTTTAATATATCTTGTTTTTTGTTCACTGGATTTGGCATTCATTTTTCTTAATACTTTGAGCTTGATTAGTACAGAACTTAAATCAGAATACAAAATGCATCCATAAATTAATTCAATATTCTTGTTTTTTATTCATTATTACAAAGAAACAATTAACTAGCTTTTACATTTGAACTATATATAGATCAGTCTACTTTCTAATGCACACATTTTCCTCTACTTTGCTGCAAGTTGAGTTAACAGTCGCATGACTAGCATTAGCCCATCCATATCCATACGGAGCAGGTTTTTCATTGTGTAGTATTATCTGTTCTGTCTGGCGGGCAATAACGATGGGGAACTCTGTGAACATATGTTGAAAGCTCAAAAAACCGAGAGAAACACGTCCGTCGTTGGATTCATGTGACTCATCTACTGTTTGCCGGTAGATCATGGCAGCTTCATGATCGAGAGTTGAGTCGACAATCTTTTCAATCACATCCCATTCATTCTCGTTGACGCCTAAATCGAATGGATATTGGTCGTGAATGGTGAAGAAGGTCATGATGGCCGCTGAAAAATTAAGAGTAGAGAGCTCATTTTTGACATACATGTCATATTCAGGACATGATTCATGATGGACTCCATTTTGATTCTCGTCTCCCATCCGGATGTAGAAATCATCCATACTGCCAGCAATAGAAT